TCCCATTCATGCAACATTCTTTTAATTAACTCCAGTAAAGTGGTGAAGATCTCGTCTAGCATTCCCGCTAAACGCTTGATCTGATATAGTCTTACAACTGCTTTCAATTTCTTAACCTTCTTACAACTTGGCCACAAATCTTGATCCGCCTCTTCAAGCAACCTAAATAAAGTCTCCATTTCGGGGTATCATCAACCAACTCTTGTCCATGTTTTACCACTTTACGAGGGCAAAATATTACGTTGACACTAAGATGCCTACAATCTTTCAATCCTTATCATGTAGGCATAACTATTAGAATTTTCAATTTCTATCTTTCAACCCTCAAACTCTACCACGATTGCAATTTTTTAATTTTAACACCTATTATAGTAAAAACAAATTAAAATAACAACAAAAAGTTATCAAAATTATGCTCATCTAATCTATTCTAGTAAATGACAACCAAAAGTTATCAAAATTATGCTCATCTAATCTATTCTAGTAAATGACAACCAAAAGTTATCAAAATAACAACAAAAACAAATTAAAATAACAACAAATTAAAATAACAATTAGAATGCAAAACAAATTAATTTAACATAATATATTCTTATATTACTAAATAGGGCAAAAGATTGTTTACTACCCTCATGTTTCGTGGTTTTCAACATTTGGTACATCAATTTTTTTTCATCCCAGAGTCATACCTAAAGTGTTAATTTTGGGACAGTTTCATACATCCGTTAGTCAAACTGTTAGTTCTCCAGTTAAGTGATAACGTGGCGCCCATGTGGACAATGATTGAGCGCCATGTGTCATTAAAAAAATATTAAAATATTAAAAATATTTATATTAAAAAAAAACCATAATCCCCTTCTTCTCTACAACCTGCACCCTCCCCAGATTTTTCTTCTTCTTCTTCCCAGATTCGGTTTTTTTTTTCCTTTTCTTTCTTCTGTTCTTCTTCGTCTTCTTTCTTATCTTCAGGATTTAAAATTTTAAAACAAAAAAAAAAACAAAATTTGGGTTTTCACCCATCCCGACACCCTTCCTCCTTCTCCCTCCCCTTTCTTCCCTGCACCCATCCTCCCCGCACACCCACCCATTCCCCTCCTTCTCCCTCCATTCTCTCCTCTGCAGTCCACACGGATCCCTCCCACCCCTCCCTCCGAAGCCACTGGGAGGAGGTCAAGCGTCGTTGACATAGGGGTTATGGCAGAGATCGAAGGCCCCTTGAGGACCCATCAAGTCCGACGACCTGCAATTCCATATTTTAATTTTTTTTTTAATTTTTTTTATACCAAATTAATGTTAGGGTTAGGAATTGGAGGGAGGGTGAGAGATCTCCGTGTGGATTGCAGAAGAGAGAAGGGAGGGAGAAGGAGGGGCATGGATGGGTGTGCGGGGAGGATGGGTGCAGGGAAGAGAAGGGAGGGTGAAGGAGGGAGGGGGTCGGGATGGGTGAAAGCCTAGAGTTTTTATTTTTTTTTGTTTTAAAATTTTAAATCTTGAAGATAAGGGAGGGAGAAGGAGGGAGGGGGGTTGGGATGGGTGAAAGCCCAGATTTTTTTTTTTTTTAAATTTTTAAATCCTGAAGATAAGAAAGAAGAAGAAGAAGAAGAAGAAGAAGAAGAAAGAAGAAGAAGAAGAAGAAAGAAGAAGAAAGAAGAAGAAAGAAGAAGAAGAAAAAGAAGAAGAAGAAGAAGAAGAACAGAAGAAACATGGGGGTTATGGCAGAGATCGAAGGCCCCTTGAGGACCCATCAAGTCCGACGACCTGCAATTCCAGATTTTTTTTTTTAATTTTTTTTATACCAAATTAATGTTAGGGTTAGGAATTGGAGGGAGGGTGAGAGATCTCCATGTGGACTGCAGAAGAGAGAAGGGAGGGAGAAGGAGGGGAATGGATGGGTGTGCGGGGAGGATGGGTGCAGGGAAGAGAAGGGAGGGTGAAGGAGGGAGGGGGTCGGGATGGGTGAAAGCCCAGATTTTTTATTTTTTTTGTTTTAAAATTTAAAATCTTGAAGATAAGGGAGGGAGAATGAGGGAGGGGGGTTGGGATGGGTGAAAGCCCAGATTTTTTTTTTTTTTAATTTTTAAATCCTGAAGATAAGAAAGAAGAAGAAGAAGAAGAAGAAGAAGAAGAAGAAGAAGAAGAAGAAGAAGAAGAAGAAGAACAGAAGAAAGAAAAAGCTGGGGAGGGTGCAGGTTGCAGGGAAGGGATTATGTTTTTTTTTTTTTTTAAATATTTTTTTAATGACACATAGCGCCCAATCATTGTCCACATGGGCGCCACGTCATCACTTAACGGGAGAACTAACAGTTTGACTAACGGATGTATGAAACTGTTCCAAAATTAACACTTTAGGTATGACTCTGGGATGAAAAAAAATTGATGTACTAAATGTTGAAAACCACGAAACATGAGGGTAGTAAACAGTCTTTTGCCCTACTAAATATTACAAGTTCATGTTATATTTAATATTGTTAATTTAACATAAATGCTTATAAATATTATTCATTTCCATTTTCTCATAACAATTCAAGTGACAAAATTAATTAATTTGACTAAATATTTATTAATTTAACAAAAATAGTAGAAATTTATCTAAGTACTTAAATTAGAATTTTTAAATAAATAAACTTGTGTATCATACAATTTAAAAATTAAAGAATTTAGTGATAAAAACGTAAATTATGGAAGAATTCCGTCGTCGATCAATTCTTTATGTACTCAACTAGCTCAAATTGTAATTAAAATTAAACATAAGAGGAGAAAATAAAAATATTACAAGCAAGAAAAACTTACTGCTCTGAAAAAGGAATAAATGAAGTTGGAAGAACAAATAAGAAAGATGCAAGCGAGAACACACAGGGAGGGGTTTGTCAATTAGAAGAACGAATAGGAAAAACGCAAGAAAGGAAGAAGAAAACATGGGGGAGAGTAATCAATCTGTCGCTTAAAACCGACACTGGGTTTCAAAATATTTATAAAAAAACTAATTTAAAGCGATATTGGGTTTCAAAATATTAAAAAAAAAATAATTTAGTGTCGGTTATAAGCGACACTCATATTTTATATCGCTTAAAAGCGACACTGTTATATTTAAAGCAACACTGTTTTACTTAAAGCGACACTAGTATTTAAAAATTATTAAAATGTATGTCGGTTTTAAAGCGATGCTAAATGTTTACGTCGGTTTAAAAGCGACATTAAATGTTTATGACGCTTATAAGCGACAGTAAATCCGACGTCATGTTTAATAAGTGTCGCAACTGTCTAGTCCGTCACTATATTATATTAAACCAACACCTTCTACTGACACTATAAGGCTCTTTTGTAGTAGTGACAAAGATGGCCTTCCGTGCCCCCCGTTGTAGCTTTTGGTTGCTGGGAGGATGGGTTGATGCAATTCTTGTTTGTGTCTGTCTGTAATCTTTCCTCTCTTACTGTTGTCGTTTAGGCCTGTTAGCCTTGCTGGCTCTCTTGCCCCTCTTTGTGGCTCCTTTTTGGTTTAATCTAATTAGCTCTTTCCAAAAAAAAAAAAAAAAAGTGTTGTGCAACAATACTATTTTACTCTCTAAGTTTAGGGGGTTTTTCAAAATGGATCACATGATTTTAATTTTCTCACATTTAATCATTAAGTTTAAAATCGTAACTTTTTTTATTGTTCTCCATTAAATTGATAATGTGATAGACATGTAACACAATTCTTAACGTAAAAGCCTTATTTGCACCACGTGGACTGAAAATTGTCTCCATGGAGTTTCAGTTTTTCCACGATTGATGTTTTGTAGCCGAAGGCGACAACCAATTGCAATTGATCCCAATGTTTTAAACCTAAATTCTATGTACGCTTAAAAACAAGTCGCAAATATGTCATGTCATCAACTTCACAAAAGATCAGATGATCAAATTGGAGGAAAGTACAAATTTTTTCGTTTTAAAACTTCATAATGCAATGTAAGAACATTGAAATCTTGTAATAATTCAAACTAAATCTAAAAGGTATAAACATAATTAATCCTTTTTAGCACATAAAGAGATAAGTAAAGAAATACTTCTTAAAAATAATATAGTGCTGGATATCTTTAACCTTTGTTCCCACAAGAATAATTAGCTTGAAATTTCATACTACTTTTTCGTAAAAAGGGGGTGAAGGGAAGAGGGGAGAACTAAAATATCTGGGTTGTGAAACCCTTTGATATAGAAATGGAATGATTGAATATGTAAATTGTGTTTGATAAAAGAGCAATGTAATCAATAGCATGAGGAGTTTGAATTTGCTCACCACCTTCACTTGGTGCTGAGTATTACTACTTTTTTTAGAAGGCGCTATGTGTTCGCTGAGTTAGCTGTAATTAATTTATTTAATTTTTATATATACAACATATATTATTAAAATCAGAGATTTTTCCCAACTCGTATTTGCTCTGCCGCTATAATTCAAAAATGCTATCAGACTATAAGTAATTTTTACTCAAGACAAGAAAATGAGAGCCAATTGGCAATTCCAATTAGACAAAAGGGATCAACTTTGGCAAGGAATTAGCCAAAAAGAAAACGTCTTTGGCCCTTTGGGTGATGATCTGATTAATTGATTAAGCAAATGAAATTAAGTTTGTTAACCATCCAGCGCCCTATGCAGATGGTGCTTTAGTGCGGTGATGAAAAACAATAATATCTATTCATCCTGGTGCAAACTTGATCCCCACCAATCGCCCTCCTCCCTAATATCCAGCGCCCTATATATAATTGTGCCGAGGCTTCTACTTTCTATATTATGATTCCCTTGCTTCAAAGCCAAGCACAATCCTTGCAAATATCTCTTCCATTAAAAAAACCCCAATAAAAAAGTAATGAAATTTTGGCCCAATATCAATTCATCACAAAAGACACGTTCACTTCCAGTTCCACATGAACCCTCATTTTATACTCCACCGAACAAACACTTTGGTTTCCTTAACTTCAAAGCTAAGCACACAAAAAACTATTCAGTACACATATATTCCCTCCACAGCCATGATGGTCCATTGCATCAACCACATCATTACCAAACACATAAATGTTAACAAAAGCTTCCCAACCAATTCTACACCCCTCTAGCTCCCATTCCCCTTGATATTCATTACTTCTTCCCAGCCATCAATATGCTCTTCTTCTTATCCCTCTTCCTTCTCTTTTCCTTTCCCCATGTCACATTTTCTGCCCATTGCACCACCACCGCCGCCGCCAAAACCTTTCAAAAATGCATCACACTCCCTACCCAACAAGCCTCCATAGCATGGACTTTCCATCGCCACAATGCCACCCTAGACCTTGTTTTCTTTGGTACTTTCATATCTCCTTCTGGGTGGGTTGGGTGGGGCATCAACCCGACCTCCCCGGAAATGACTGGCACACGTGCTCTAATTGCCTTTCCGGACCCTAGCACCGGTCAAATAGTTCTCCTCACTTACCTCTTAGACCCAACCACAAAGCTCCAAAAACGCCCTCTCCTCTCTCGCCCTCTTGACATCCACATTCTCTCCTCGTCCGCCACCCTATACGGCGGGAAATTAGCCACCGTCCACGGCGGTGCTGCAGTCCAAATCTTCGCTACATTAAAACTCGCGCCGAACAACACAAAGCTCCATCACGTGTGGAACCGCGGCCTCTACGTCCAAGGCTACTCGCCAACCATACACCCAACCACAGCCAACGACCTTTCATCCATTACGACATTCGATGTCATGTCAGGCACAACGGCCACACGTCACTCCAACATTGGCACACTCAGAACAGTGCATGGCATCATGAACGCCATTGCATGGGGCATCATGCTCCCCATTGGAGCAGTGCTTGCACGCTACCTCAGGCACGTACAATCATTAGGGCCCACATGGTTCTATGTGCACGCTGGGGTCCAACTGTTTGCTTTTTTCCTAGGGACTGTAGGGTTTGCTATTGGTATTAGGCTTGGGGATATGTCACCTGGGGTCCAGTATGGGCTCCACAGGAAGCTAGGGTTTGCAGCATTTTGCTTGGGAGGGTTGCAAACCCTAGCACTATTGTTTAGACCTAAAACTACAACCAAGTTCAGGAAGTACTGGAAATCTTACCACCATTTTGTTGGGTATGCATGTGTGGTGCTGGGTGTGGTGAATGTTTTCCAAGGTTTTGAGGTGATGGGAGAAGGAAGGTCTATTGCTAAACTGGTTTACTGTTTAGGATTGTCCACACTGATTGGGGTTTGTATTACTTTGGAGGTGAATTCTTGGGTGGTTTTTTGTAGAAAACCAAAGGAGGAGAAGCTGAGGAGGGAAGGTTTAGTTGGAGCGTCTGATAAAGGCAGTGGAATCCTCAGTTGATCAGAGGCATCACGTACTTTAACAAAACGATACTTCTCAGGCCTATGGAAAATTGTCGACCGACGAACAAATTTGTTCGTTGGAAGGTTTTTCAGGAGCCCTTTTTTTGCTTTCAAGAACCATATTTATAGCTGCAATTTTGGTTCGCTTTTTTCATGCTTTTGTAGAAGAGGTGAGATCATAGAGAAAGTTGTTGTTGATGTTTTTCCATTACCACAGTTTCACTCAAAAGCTTATAAGTCGAGTTTTTTACTCTTGGCACTATCCAAGTCTTTCGATCTGGGTTAACAACTATCAAATGCTCAATTTGTTTAGAACAATTCTTAGATTCTTAGGTTGTTTAGGAACAAAACTTGTTTACAGTTTTACTCGATACTTCGTTGCGTTTATGACTCAGGATGCTCAATCCACAGAGGAAGCCCAAGCTGCGAAAGAAAGTGGACTAGTAAAAGGATGGAAGCCCCCGTCCCACATCGACCAAAACAAAGTTCACAAACTGCTTTATATATTCCTACTTGATAGCACTGCTTGTCCCTTCGGGGACATCCGATAAAATTGGAACGATACAGAGAAGATTAGCATGGCCCCTGCGCAAGGATGACACGCATAAATCGAGAAATGGTCCAAATTTTTTTTGTCATTTTTACATGATTTTCCTTTTGTAATTTTAGAAACACAAAAAAAAAAAAGATTCTTGTCATTTATACATGATTTCTTTTTTATTTTTGTAATTTTAAAATCACCAAAAAAAAATTTAGTGTGATTATCATCCCAGTAAATGGTATTACTACACTAAATATTAAAAAAGTTGCGAATGTTTGTAATTTTAGAAACACAAAAAAAAACAAATTCTTGTCATTTATACATGATTTCTTTTTTATTTTTGTAATTTTAAAATCACCAAAAAAAAATTTAGTGTGATTGTCATCCCATTAAATGGTATTACTACACTAAATATTAAAAAAGTTGCGAATGTGACTTTTAATTATTACCATTAATCTTCATATTATAATATGAGTTGATAATATAGTCAAAATTACCTAACCTATGATATAATTGTACTAGCCGTTGTCATTATAACTACAATTAATATACGTTATAATATGTGGGAAATATATAACACCATGTTGGAATATGAAGGTCGCTACAAAAAAAACTCCCGACGTACATCCAATTTTTATTTTTAGACACCCACCATTAAATTTACATACTTCTCTGGACAACCATGTAAAATTTTAATATTCCTAAATCATCCCACTTAAAAATAGAGAAAAAAAAATTGGCACAACCACTCAAACCCCCTCCCAAACCTTTTCTTCTTCTGCCTATCCTCATTCTTATCCAAGAACAGCAAATCCCATTCTCCACCCAACCCAGAGCCCATCTCCCTCACCAATCTTATCCAAATTGATGGCAAAAGCTATGAAGATCCATTGCAATAAGAAGTTGGAGAAAAACACCCATTTGCGGATCTGAGATGATTGAGAGAGCAATAGAGCATGGAATTGGCTGGGATAGAGTTAGCTAGGGATTTTAATGGTAGAGGGGCAGCGAAAGGTTTCTTATCAGCAAAGGTCAAACATTTTGCCCTTCCCTTTGAAAGGGAATATTTTTGCTCACTATCAGTAAGTCATGGTGATGTTCACCATCATATTTATCATCATTGGATAAATTTAAATTTCAAGATATGTGTAGTGAATGATACAAATCTCAAAAGTTAAACTCATTCAAAGAAAAGAACTCAAGCCCGTACTCGGCTTGGCAAAAAATTACAAATAAAATATAAATGGAATTGTCAAGAATGGGATTCGAACCCATGCCCTTTCGGACCAGTACCTGAAACTGGCGCCTTAGACCAACTCGGCCATCTTGACATTATTGATTAATTTTCCAGTATATAAACTATAACATTCATAAACGAACAACTACTCCAGTGAACGCCAACTTCTCTCCCTTAACAAAAGATATTTTCCCAGCCAATGACTAGGTAAAACATTTAAATAATCTTACTCATATTCAATTGTTATCATAACAACTTGTCGTGAGTTTGCCTAGTGAATCCATGAGCCAAACTTTTCGTATTAAAATGAGGCTCCATAGAGAGGCGAGAGTCAAACTCTTATCATGAGCATTCAAAATATCTGGAGGCAAACGTTCTATAAATTCAACTTATATCACTTTCAAATAGAAGTTTGGGTATCCAGCATTGTTGGCCGCCCATTAGCTTTTCGTATCATTGTTTGGTGGTGTAGAATTTGCATCTTGAATAGTTACCGCAGGCAGTAAAAAGTTGAAAGAGATTGATCACAAATTCAAATGGTCTTAGTAGTAAAAACTAGAAGGTCTAAAAGGCAATAAAAAGGTGGCAGTTGCCAATCCTCCTCTTTCTTCCTTTTTCTGCTTTCAACTTTTTGGCTCCTAATATTCGAGAGATAAAAAGCAAAAAGGAAGCAAATGAGAGTGGAAGGAAGAAATGTTGGTCTCTCTTTTGTACAAGATCTTCTCTTTCCTTTTTTATCACTTCCAAAGATTTTCAAACTTAAATGATGGCTTACTTTGCCTGATCGGTAACCACCAAGACATTCTTCCTTGGTGGAGAGAAGGAGAGCAACTTAGATGTATACATCACCTTCGTAGGTTCGTAGCGTTCCGATTCAATAACTTAATGTCATGTAGAGCAACTTAGATGGATTCATTTCATGTTATTACGACGTTCCAGTCCAATACCATAATCGCTTGTAGAAAAACTTAGATGAATTTGGTACACGCCATGGTGCACTTGGTCCATCTAAAAGGTTTAATTTTCTACTCATTGTTTTTTAGCCTAACTACATTTTCTCCTTAGGTTTAGCGACCGAAGACGTACTTGACGTTTCTGGGCACTTGGTTATGAAAACGTACTTGACGTAGGTTTTTTGACGTATGTCTTCAAAAAGTGGTCACGGAGTTTCAATTTTCTACCAATGCGCCTTGAGAATACGAGATTGTATCAACTCATAAGAATTGAAGACATCTTTGATGTTTTTGGGTTGACATGGAAGCCACATTCGCACCAAACAGATACAAATAATAGACCTAAACTCCACAATCAATGGTTTAACGTCCCACGACAAGTAATCATACAATTCCATCTCGATGGTGCAGGTGTGACTTCTACATCCGCCCAAAAACGAATCTCGCATTTACCATCATCAATTAAACAGAGGATCAAACAGTCAAAGCAAAGTAAAGAACCAAAAACATTAAACATAACCACATACCAAAATAAAACTTCACAATTGCTGCATACCAAGTCCTCAAAGTGTAAGAATCAGAATATGGGATGGCTTATTACTAACTGGGTAAACCCTTAAACGTTTCACACTAACAAATCAACAGTAATTTCAGGTACAAAAAGAAAATAACAGAATAATGGAAGAAAAAAAATGAATAAAAAAAAAAAGCATTCGCTGAGCATAACCAATTGCCAGAGATGTTACAGATGAAAACTCTAGGAAAGAAAAAGAATATATATATCAGTCTATCTTTTCTGTTTTTTTTTTTTTTTTTTTTTTCGTTTTCGCGTTTTGGGTATCGTCGCCTCACCGGAGATGCATGATACACGTCTGACTATATCCCGCAATCTGATTTTACATCTCACTCAAAAGACCGAAAGAAAAAACCTAAAATCGGTAACTCAAAACTCAAAGCATTAACACAAAATCCATCTTAACTTGTTCTATCTCTCTACTTTTACTTCTGCAAACAGGGCACTCCAGTTAGCTCTTCTTACTAACCAAATTTCTTTTACTGACATATATAAACGAGGGCGGTGTGCAAAATTCACAATTCACCTGCTTCGCCAGATTATCTTCACCTACAATGTCGTGATATCAGAAACGAACGATGGATCCTAGGCAGCGATTCCTGAAAGAAAACAGGTGGAAAGAGGATTTTAAGCATCAGGAATTGGTAGAGTTTTCAGTTATATATACATATTTGTATTTCCGACAAGTTATCATCTATTCATCTATCTGAGAACAAGATATAGCATAAAGGTTAATGTGTTTTGTTACCAACAGGTTCAATTGACGATGACGAATTCATGGAAATCACTTTGCACTCAGGTATTGATTACAAAAGCTAAACTAGAAAGTTTCCCAACAGAGAGCTTATGCGAACAACATGTTTCACCTTTTAGAATTGTTGCAACATTCCATTTTAACAAGCAATATGCCACCGTTATAATCTAAATAGTGATCGTTCAAAGGTGGCAAGACTTATAACAATCTGACCATCAAATATGAAGAGACAATATGGATCACGAAATGAGATTCCAATGATTCATTAAATTTCCTATCCCCCTCTTTTTCTGTTAGTTGTTAAGTATCTTTGACAAATGCATCCAGAGACAGAAAACCGTACAGATTGCCAAATTATATCTTCCCTCTCCACTTCAGAACCCTACTTAGTGCTTTGGATTTCTTAAATTAACAAACTCAGAAAGGTTATGTAAAGGTCGAGAGAAAATAAATATTATATTTTCAGTTCAAAAATATATATATTTTTTCAGAGAGAATCATATTTTAACCAGAGACTCAAAAAACTTAATTTTAGACTTCTTTAGATTTCTACATTTCTCTCAGTATCTTCCTTGATTGAATTAAAAAAATAACAGGCATAAAACTCGGACAACTGTTAAGCAGTATACTTAAGAACGAACTGCCTTGAAGATGAAACTATGAAAACAAAGCCACTTTTCACGTAAATATATTCTAGATGAGAGAATAAAGGAATCAACTTAATTTGTGAAAAGCACATACTGGATCTCTGGAAGGACAACGTCAAGAGCTTCATAAAACAAGAAGGATCTACTTTATATTTCAACCATTAAGGGAATGTGATTGCACAATCTATAGTCTAAAAGAAAAAAATGATTCATATACTTTTCTTTTCTATGACCCATAACACATGCGCCAACAGATAAGATGAGAGAGCTCATTCAAAAATCTAGAATGGCCAATAAACAAGAAACAACGTTAAATTCATCCACAAAAAACATGAAAGCAAACAAACACAAGAGAAATTGATGAAAGCTGCCTAACCTTCTTATCAGAAACAAAAGAGCAGAAGTTTCTTTGGAATCACATAAGCAGAAGTTTCTTTGGAATCACATAAGCAAGAAGCGAAACTGATGAAACGCCCTACCAACACTATAATACAAAATGGCTGATTGTCTCATCAACCCTGAACAGTCAATACCCATTTGGGACAATTGTCTCCCTAATTCCCAAGAGGTCAATGGTCGTATCTAGTTAAGTAGCGAAGAAGCTCATTGTCCAGCTACAACTTCTACCAACACCAAACAAAAGCCAACTAAAATTGTTTCACCAGTAACCCCAACATTGAAAGCCTTTTGCTTTTATCTCAAAGTCCCAGTTTTTCTATTCCTCAACTGAACCCGCATAAAAGCTAATAAGCCTAGGACTCCAAAGCAATACACTCAATACAAATAGCTGGCTTCAAAAGAGTCTTTAAAGATGATGTGATATAGGAAAGTAAAAGTTGCATCTCTGTGGTAACAAATTTATCAGCCAGTATCAACTATCAAGGCTATAAATGAAGAATTGCGTGGAAAATAATCTAGAGGACTAAACAAGAAGCAAAGAACCACAGAGGTACATAGTGTAACAATCACAAGGTAGCAATGTGGTGTCATGTGAGCAGCCATTAGGGAACAATGTAACCAACAGGATAAAGGACTTCATAAGTTCAGCTTGATGAACTGGGATGAGTGTAACAATCAGATAAGAAATATCATGTTTCACTGGATCTATTGAATTACTAACTAGACCAGTCACAAAACTCAATACGCAGCGCAACCAGGAGCTTAACAAGAGCTTTTCCTATTCCTATTTTTTTTCAATAACATAGACCATAACACAGAAAACCTACAAATTTAGGATCAAATCCTGGGTTTGACTGTCCCTAAATAAATTACGATAAAGTTCCCTATCTTCCAAAAAAAATTAAAACTACAAAACATACCAAGAAAATAGATGAAAAACAGAAGTTGCATAAGATATTAATTAAGTGGCACTAACCTGTGTTTGACTGTCTCTTATTAACACTATAACCACCAACATAACCAGGAGAACTCATAGCTGAAACATCAGAAGCTGTGCCGCCAAGCCCATAACCAAAAGGAACAGACCCATCTTGCTCGGAATTTGATGATCTCCAAGTAGGGTCTCCATAAACTGAATTACTACTGTAAAGGTCAGCCAAGGACCCATCGAAACCACCACCATTTGATGCAGCAAATGAAGATGTAGGGGCCACACTTGCACCACTGTTTCTTCCATACCCTCCAGTTCCCAGACCGTAACTGTTATCCCCAACTCCATAACCAAGGTTCCTGCTATTGTTAGAAACATTATTTCCTCCGCCTTGAGCCGGCATTACTGAAGAAGGCCAATTAGCTCCAGTATTTCCAAATGTACTTCCTCCAATGGTCCCACTTCCTGATCTGATGTAAGCATTAGAATTTGTGGAGTTAAGACCACCACCCCCATCCCCCCACAAGTTTCGAGTCACTGAGCTGAAAAATGAAGATGTGTTTCCTCCATTACCGCCATCATACCCAATGGGATTGCTAAACCTATTTGAATTATTGATATAATAAGGACTCAATCCACCCCGTCCATAGTTCATATTATTATTATTATTATTATTATTATAATTTGCATTCCCTCCAAAACCTGGGCTCAACCCTGGCTCATAATTCATACCCATTCCATAACCAGAACCAAATGGAGGAAATCCACTACGACCACCAGCAACTGGACTGAATCTACCAAGTCCATAGCCTCCACCTGCATTTGGAGTATACCCCTGAGTGTAGCCATTAAGGAAGCTATTGACCCTACTCAGACCGTAGTTGTATCCACCAATAGGGCTGCGACTAGGGCCAGGCGATAACTCTTTGGGAACTGCACGCTTGACCTCAACCATCTTCCCGTTCAGTTCATGAAATGTCTTAAGCAAAACCTTGTCCACTGCCTCTTCTGAATCATAAGTGATGAATCCAAAGCCTCTCGGTCTCTGGGTGTTGTGATCATACATCACCACAACATCTGTGATTGTCCCAAACTGCTCAAAGTACTTCTTGAAGTCACTCTCTGTGACAGTGGATGCTAAACCTCCAACGAAAATTTTTCTTGTGCGGCCTGGACCTGGAGAACCATGGATGCTGCCACTGCTTCTTCCCAATATGTTTTGGTCATCCCTTGGAACAGCCCTTTTGGCCTCAACCTGAGAATAGATAACACATCGGTAAAAATGAAGATGAAATGATACAAGCATTACAAATTAATTGATCAGCTCAGAATAATACAGCAATGCATTAACAAAACTGACAGAAGGAAAGATAAAAGAATGAGAAGCATGATTTACTGTTGCTGAATTTGAAATTTAGTTGAACACAGAACCACAGTAAAAATGAATTCCTGCAATTACAATTTCAGATCCGTAACTCCTATAAGAAAATTACTTTTCCTTTACATTTTGAGTGATTCAAAACTAAAAGCATAATGCTACATGATGAAACACAGTGAAAATAAGAATGTAACCAAAGGCTAAAACTGGTTTAAACCAAAAGGAAGTAGTTTGCTTACCATCCTTCCATCAATGTTGTGCTTCTCCATTATGACGCTGTCCGCAACCGCTGGGTCAGAAAATACTACAAAACCGAAACCACGAGCACGGCCTGTGGTCCGATCTTTCATGATCACTGCTTCTACCACCTCCCCAAAACTACTGAAATACTCTTTTAGACGCTCTTCATTTGTATCCCAAGATATGCCGCCAATAAACAACTTACCACTATCGGATTGCATTTTTTCCTACAAGCCAAAAGTACTACATCAACTCAAGCTTTGAGAAAATCCACAAATGCAAATCACACTATCCACCTCAAAGCAAAAACACGAACTTTATCGAAATTTCAAACCCAATTGGAAAATGAAGGATTCAACGGATGATCCAATAGAATTCTATTTTAAAAACAGAAGCTAAAGGTATTCCAGCAGAATGAGATGCAAGCAATTATCTAATCCAATCTCACAGCAACACCAGCAGCTCAAATAAAAATCTCTCCTTTATCCACAATAAACACCAACCTAATCGAAACCAAATGCGGATTAATATAAACAACAATCCAAAGTAGAAAGATCAGTACCTTGCTATGAAATATTGCAAAAGCGCAGATTGTAATCCGATTCGGAAACAAGTAATCCCGGATTCAATTCAGAAACGACCGATCCTGCACCGATCAAATACTGAACCGCAATTTAGAACACCTGGAAGAAAACCCAACAGAAAATATCAATCAGAAAAAATCAGCTGGATCCAAATCCACATCCCCAATTCAGAAAAAAAGATCAAAAATCAAAAACCCAAATCAGATTATCATCATACCCACCGATTAAACAAAAACCCAGATGCCAAACCTTGAAGAAAACTAAGATCTGAGAGGAGGCACTCTAGGAATAAGAACAGAGGGCATGTTCAACCTCCTCTCTATATATGCCCCCTCCAACCTTTGTATTTGTCCTTTCAATGGTGGTATTTGATTACCAAATACAAATTTAGTTACCAAACAGATGGGTGAGAGATTAAAAAAATGTATATTTCTAGAGAGAGAAACAGAGGCTGTAGAGAGAGAAAGATAAGGTGCTTGGAGGGTCTGGTGAGGAATATATAGCCTCTCTGTAAATTGCGATGATGAAGATTTTCACCTTCTTTTTCTATTTTTTTAACTTTTTTTTAGGCTTTTTTCCTGAATTTCTGACTGCAAAATTTGAAAATTTGAGAAATGGGTAGTAAGAAATTTACCCAAAAAACAAAATTTAATCAGAAATAAAGTCGTGGAGATTTGGTAATGAAGAATGTCTGATCTGATAGTACAAAGAGAAGAGGATCACTTTGTGGCTTTGTCCCTCCCGTTCATTCCTTTTATACTTAATGGGAAAACACCTCCATTGTAAGGTTTCACACATAACCTGCGCCGTGCCGTATGAAATTTAAACCCACATCGAAGTGGGCCCAACGCCATACTAGCCGTTGATTTTGATGACTTTTGCTTGATCTACTTTGATCTTCATTTTGTTTTCTAATTTACATACTTTACCATTTTATTTTCTTTTCTTTTCTTTTCTTTTCTTATGGTAAATTTTAGGCTTTTTCTTTTCTTTTCTTTTTTCTCTAGAGTTGTGATTCATATTAAGCATATGAGTTTTGAGTGCCACTAAAACCAAGAAAAAAATTTGAGTGTATTTTATTATTACTTAACTTACTTTTTTTATCCACCGTAAAAGGAAAAACGACAGTGTGTAATAAACATCTCATCTTTTAGAAACATCGTTGAGATCTGACGCTCTAACTCGTCTAACTCAAATTGCCTTTTGCTTTCTTGAATCTACTTTATTTGGTGTTTAGGCATCGTATTCTCTATGCCAATACAATGTCAGAGTTTTTGTTCTCACATGATCTTTGTGTGACATGAGATTTAGCGATCCTATTGATTTTGCAATCTTGCAGTTTCAGGTGAACTAGGCTTTCAATGAAAGGTTTGAAGTCTTCTTATTGCTTCGTAGTTAGTCATGTAATATTTTTCATAACTCGTTTGTAAAAACCTTTTTAAAATTGACCTGTTTATGAATATCTCTGTAACGTCATTTATTTAGCGAATGACATATCCTACATTTTTCAAAAGTGAATGTGGTATACTTCACTCGTCTAAACACTATTCACTAAATAGAGAAATTCTAAGGGTTTTGATTCCCTCCCTTGTAAAAATTAATAATAAAAATAATAAAATTAAAAATTAAAAAAAAAAACTGTGGCAAAGAAAAATACTTGTGTTTATTTTACTTTTCAAATACTAATTTTAAACTAATCCATGCAAAATTAAACTTGTAATGCCAATTGACATTTTTAAACATTTTATAGCCTTTTTTTTACTACACATTGGTAACAAAGTAATTTCCCCTTCGTGCAATCAAGATACTACTGTGAACACGGAAAATTCCTGAAACGAAAGAGACAAGAACAACGTGCACAAACAAATATTTGTATTTTGATGATTTTGGGTTACAATCTCTTTTAACTTGATCCTCTGATTCGATCTCCGTAAGGTGTTGATTTATGGATATTTTGTTGATCCAAGGGCCGTGGAGGCTTGATTTTGGATGAACTGTTGGAAGTTTCTTCAAGGGTCGTGGGCTTGATCTTTGAAGGTGGATTTGAGCGAATCTTCAAGGAGCCGTTGAGGCTTGATCTTTAGGATGAGTGTTTCTTCAAAGGCCGTTGAGGCTTGATCTTGAATAACGGTGATGAACAGATCTTCAAGGGCTTTTGGGCTTGATCTTGAAGAGCAGTGATGAACAGATCTTCAAGGGCTTTTGGGCTTAATCTTGAAGAACGGTTGGATGTGTGTGGATTTGTCGACGTTGTTGATCCAAAGGGTCGTTGGGGCTTGATCTTGGATGAACGGATGATGAACGATGGTGCTTTCTTCAAGGGCCGTCGGGGCTTGATCTTGAATTGGTGGATGATTGTTGATCCAAAGGGTCGTTGGAGCTTGATCTTGGAAGAACGATGAACGAAGAACGAAGAGCACTTTCTTCAAGGGCCGTCGGGGCTTGATCTTGAATTGGTGATTGTTAATCCAAGGGTCGTCGGGGCTTGATCTTGGAAGAACGATGAACGAGAAACGAAGAACACTTTCTTCAAGGGCCGTCGGGGCTTGATCTTGAATTGGTGGATGATTGTTGATCCAAAATGCCGTTGGGGCTTGATCTTGGAAGAACGATGAACGAAGAGCACTTTCTTCAAGGGCCGTCGGGGCTTGATCTTGAATTGGTGATTGTTAATCCAAGGGCCGTCGGGGCTTGATCTTGGAAGAACGATGAACGAGGAACGAAGAACGCTTTCTTGATTCTTCGGGAACCTGGATGCTTGAGAGCTTCGGAGTTTCAGAGCTTCAGAGCTTCAAGAATTTTGCCTAATGATTTTTTGGTTCCTTTAAATGAATGAATTAGCCTTCTATTTATAGAAATTTCCAAGGCCTAATTTTGAATATAATATTCCAGATGAAATAAGTCGTTTCTGCCAGGTGTTGACACGTGTCCTGTTTGATGACTTTTCCAACTTATTTTGATTTTTTGTTTAGACACACGCTACGTGTAAAATTTATGTAATACATGAGCGTTGAAACTTTGATTTATCGGTTAACATTTATTTACCGAATTTTCGATGTCTACAACTACATGAGGCGTTAGAGTACTCTTAACTCTTAGATAAAATGGTACACCAAAACATAGCACGTTGCTACAAGAATGCATCCATAAAAGTTTGAACTCTTGATTGAAAATTTCAAATGTTTGCTCGCTTAATTTCTACTAAAATTTTTACAATTTTTATGTAAGATGTTTATAAGGGAAAGTACTTGGAAAACCCAAATATTATATGAAACAAATAGTTGATGACTTGAAATTTGGCCACGAATGGATTTGCCTTTTGTAATAGGATAGTGTTATTCGCATATTCATTTTTACTTTTTACATATCTCTCTTAATTTTTTTATTGTCAGATTGAACAGATTGAAGACGATCAATGACATTATATAAGGATGTGTGAAAGATAAAATTAGTGTGTGAATAACACTATTCTAGTAATATAAGGCGATTAGAAGTTGCTACAAAATGCTTGCAGCTGATTGATGCGATTGGAGAGGCGTTTGTCAGTTGGAGGCGTGAAAGCTTGCACATCCAGTTGGTTCCTTGTAGCAGAGGCGGTGGAAGAAGAAGATTAGGGTTTCTTTTGTACTTTTGGGCTTTTTTTTTGTTTAACTTTGTTGGCCCCTTTGTGCTTGTACTTAGTTGGATTTGGGCTTTGGTTTGGGGTCCAATTTTGCTTCGTGTTAATCTTGTAACTGGGCCTCTTGGGTATTTGTTTTTTGTACTTTATGGTTGTTGCCCTTAAATATTATTTCCAGTTTACCAAAGAAAAAAAAAAAAAAACGAGTTCAAACAGAACCACCACCCATGTATTTCTTTAAGCAATATATTTGAAGAGAAGAATTTTATACTAAAGCAATCAATTAAAATGTATTTAACTATTGAGTTTTGCCAAACATTAATTTTGCCAAAAAAATTACAAGTCAAACATTAATATAAAATTTAGCTATAATGTGTACATTTAATATAATTATTATCATTTCAACGGCTAGATCATGAGATTGTGTTAAATACATATATCCAGTGAATTATATATGACCGTCAAGTAATAATTATATATTTAATATAATTTTTAATGCATCGATATATTTATCCTAAAGAATAAAAATATATATCATTAAATAATAGTACTAAGTGACAAATGTTTGAACACTTCGAATCAAAACATAAGAATAATAGTTCACGATCACAACTTAAAACGAAACCACGACATGTCTAAATGGTTTGTCAATCAAAACGAGAAATATGACCACCTTTATTTACCATTTGTTAATAATAATAAAAAAAAAACATTGTTTTTTCTTCTTTTTATCATGGGAACATTCAATTGTGAACCACGATTATCCATCATTTTCAGGCTTAGAGGAGGTTGAGAATTGCACTTTACCAGTGGCCATGATCAAGTAGATTCGCTAAACCACTTGTAGTGGTTAATAAAAGAACATTATTGACAATTACAAATTTACCATCTAACTCCCTTTCTAAGAAAAAAGGACTTAAAAAAATTATTATTGAAGGGGAAGAGGGTTTGAAACTATTATAATGATTAAAGGAAGGTGAAACTTTCGAACCTGGGATGCATGGATATAGAAACTTAACCCGTAGAATATTAGACCACATGTTCTCCTTCTAAGAAAAAAGGATTGTAATGTAATATCCTTTAAAGTTGCAGCAAGTAAAAAGGACTTCGTAACTTTATGAATGAATGGTAATACCTATTGGTTAATCGCTTTGGCAACATTAAAGCAATTGCATAATGTAACCAACCTAGTTGCAGTGGTGGATTTAGGAATTGTTTATTGGATGAGCGAGGTATAAGTTCTTGTTGGCGGGAGGGGCTTAGGCTAAGGCTTAAAATAGTTCCGTTGTCATTTGGTCTTAACTCTTGTTAAACTACTCATACAACAAGAGGCAAGACCAAATAACAACCAAACAATTTTAAGATACCCTTGCAAATTAAGGACCAGAAACATATAGTAAAGTTTGCAACCCTTGTACTCATAATTCTCACCAACTGAAATTAATTAGGAAGAAAACATGACAACAAAACGAATGATATATTGGGATGATACGGCTCTTCTCATTGGGATGTTTACCAACTCCAACTGACTTAAGATTTTATTTATGAATCAATGATTCAATAGTTAGTGACATATGTTACTCTACCGATTTGCATGCCTATGGCGCCATATTCACACTGCATTTACGGTGTATTTATTTATTTTAACAAACGATATTATCTACACTAAGGAGATGGATGTAGTTTTGGCGAGAATCAAACCTAAGACCTCTCAATTACAAGTGAAGATGAATACCATTAGACTGTTGTACTAAGTGGTCACACTACATTTATGTTAATAAGCAAAGTTTAACTCGAAAATTACCCAATTTTATAAGAGTGGTGCAATCCACACGCCTTTTTTTTTTAATCTCTCACACTCCGGTCAATTTCAACTGTCGGATTGAATGAATTGAAAAAAATTAAAAGACAAACTTAACAAGAGATGTGTGCATAAGATGTAAAAATGGATGTGTCATGTGTGGACAGCACTGCCCTTTCATAAATAGATAAAGTAACCTCAAGTATCATATATCTAACAAAAATTGACATTCGTAAATTTCGCATAGTGATCAATAAATATGACAAAGAAGATTAATCTACGA